AAAATTTTCATTTTGTGCAGATAATGCAGCTTGTTGAACACATTTGTTGAAAAATTTTCTTCTGAAGTGGTTGAGTTTGGTGTGTTTTCAGATGTTGATGCAGCATGTGATGCAGAAATATTGTTTTCAATTGCTGTAACACGAGGATTAGCCTTGGTTTTTCTGGCTGGTTTTCTGGTTTTGGTTACTCTAGTTGTTGAAGAGGTTGAAGAGGTTGAAGAGGTTGAAGAGGTGTTTCTTCTATTGGAGTTTCTTGTGACAGCCATTGTTTCTAGTTGATGTTGATTTAATGATCACTTGTTTTATTTTATTCGTGGTTTTAACCTGACAGAATATCCTCTACTGTGTGTATATAAGGTAATTCCGATGTTCTATTAATATACATATAATGTTACAATTAGTGGATTCTTGATTCTTCTTATAGTTGATGTGAAATGTTGAGTATTGATGAATTGTGCATAATTGGTTATTCTGGTTATGTAATACCTGACAAATTTGATTCGAATTAGGGGCGGGTTCAACACAATAACAATCAAAAACAGTCAACAACGGACAATCAATTGATCTGTATATCCATTCAAAAGTTAACCATGGAACAAATTAACTTATCCACCCACGGGAAAGACATCCAAAAAAGTTATGAACAAGTTGTTAGAGGTGATCCTTCAACAACTTGGGTTATTTATGGACCAGATTCTTCAAAAGCATATAAAGTTGCTGAACAAGGTACTTCATTCGAAGAATTCTTGGAAAGTTTTGATGAATCTCAAATCCAATTCGGTTTAGCAAGGGTCAACCCACCAGGTTCTGATGTTCAGAAAAACTTGTTGATTGGTTGGTGTCCAGATTCTGCTCCTATTAAGTCTAGATCTTCATTTGCACAAAACTTTGCTGAAGTTTCAAGATTATTAAAAGGTTATCATATTCAAGTCACTGCAAGAGATACAGATGATTTGGATAGAGATGAGCTATTATCAAGAGTCAGTGCAGCTGCTGGTGCTCGTTATTCAATCCAATCAGCTAGAACTAATGCTCCATCTTCAACCTCAAGCCCAGCACCAAAGGCTTTCAAACCAAAGCCAGCTGAAGCTCCGAAACCAGCTGTTTCCAAACCTTCTCCAAAGCCAGAACCACAAGTTATTAAACCATCTCCAGCTTCAATTGCTAAAAAAGAAGCCGAGGATGAATGGAATGAACCAGAAATTGAAGAAAGAGACTTCTCTAAAAACCCATTGAAACCAAATACTTCCACTTATAAACCAATTGGCCGTGTTAATTTACAAGATGTCATCAAGGAAGAAAAATCGAGACCTGACCCAAGATTAGAAATTGAACAATTGAAAGAAAAAGAAAGATTAAAGAAAGATAAAGAACTTGATGATTACTTGAAGACAAAATCTGCAACTTATGGTGCAAAAGCTCCAACTCCATCATCTGGTTTGAAAAAAGATAACGATAAAGTTGTCGGTGGTATCTCAAAGGCATTTGGTACTGAGAATGGTAAAACACCTGCACAGTTATGGGCCGAAAGAAAACAAAAATCCGCAGGTGCTACTCCAGAGCCAGTCTCCCAAGAAGAGGAAGATAAAAAAGAAGTTGAACAAGTTGAAGAAGAAGTTAATGTTTCAGATCTTAAAAAGAAATTCAATAACTTGGATGTTGAGGCTGAAAAAGAAGAGGAAGAAGAATCTAAATTACCACACCCTTCACCAGGTTTACAAAATGCATTCCCAAAAATCACTAAATTAAGTGACAAGCATGATTTTGAATCACAAAAACCTCCTGCATTTAAAAATGGAATTCCTTCACCAGGTATAAAGAGTGCGTTCCCAGGTTCTGATAGATCTGAATTCCCAGGCTTAGAAAAGGAAGAAGAAGAACCTAAGCAAGAAGAGGAAGAGGAAGAGGAAGAGGAAGAAGCTCCTAAACCTTCTCTACCATCAAGAGGTGCTGTTCCTCCACCACCACCTGCAAGAAACGAATCACCAGCTCCTTCATTACCAACAAGACAAAAAGAACCTGAACCAGTTCCAGAACCAGAACCTGAACCTGAAGTTGAAGAAGAGGAGCAAGAAGAAGCAGGTGCTATTGCCATTGCTGAATACGACTATGAAGCTTCAGAAGATAATGAATTAACATTTGCTGAAGGTCAACGTATCGTTAATATTCAATTTGTTGATGAAGATTGGTGGTTAGGTGAAACTGAAGGTGGTGACAAGGGTCTTTTCCCAGCTAATTATGTTACATTAGAGCAATAAAGTGTTTAAAGGGTAAAATTATGTATGTGTTTGTTGATGATTTTTGTAGTGGAGCTGAATACCGTTTTTTTTGGAACACACACGCACCTCATCACTAAAATGAAAAAGAAAAAAAAATTTTATCACTTGAGCTCATAATAGATCTCAAACGATAAAGATCAACAGATATTCAAAGATGGTTACTTTTAGTTGTGAAGTAAGTTTGTTTATTTGTTGGATTATGTCTTCTAGTACTAACCTTTGTTCCAGGTTTGTAACGAATCCATGCTTAAAAAGAAAGCAGACCAACATACTCAAAGATGTTATGGTGCTTACTTTACCTGTATTGATTGTTCAACCACCTTCAATGGTGCTGATTATAGAAAACATACACAATGTATAACGGAGGATCAAAAATACCAAAAGGCGTTGTATAGACCTAAGAAACAACAACAACCTAAGCAACAACAACCAAAAGAACAACCAGAAAAAGAATCAAAACCAGTGGAGGCTAAGAAAACTGAAAAGAAATCTAAAGTTGAAAAGCCAAAATTTGATTTAGGCAAACATAAAGGTGAAAAATTGTACAAAGTTTTGAAGAAATTGTCAAAAGACGATAAAAAGACATTATTGAAAAAGATTCAAATAACGAAAGATGGTAACTTAGAATTAGCATAATATAACATAAACAGCATAGATTAATAGTATACAAGTTTTGTTTTACTTTTCGGTATCATTTTCTTCTTCATTTGTTCAAGCCTCTGTAGATTTTGTGGTAAAATTGTTGTAGCTATTTGAAAAGTTAGTATGAGGCCTTACCGACTAGGAAATCAAACTTACGGTATCAATTGGGAAAGTTAAGTCATCAAAGAAATATTCTGGTAAGTATTTTTTCAAATCATTCGATTCTTCCTTGTTCACAGGCGTATAAATGATTTCGGAAGAGTCTTCCTTTGGAATTGTGAGTTTATAATCCAGAACTAAAAAATAGTGTTAGTCAATGAGATACAATATTGAACAATCTGTAGTTATACTTACCACCATTCTTACCAGATTGTGAACAATCGAATGATAATGCTTCATCGGTATCTTCAACACTATGAATTCTTAAACCAACAATTTGTTCCATCATATCTAGTATCAATTCATTTTGAAATGATTCTTCTTCATTCGCAATTGGTTGAACATCACCATTTGGATTGTTTTCCAACTCTGATAAACGACCTCTTAATTCTTCCAACTCTATTGATAATTGTTGATTTCTTGAAGTTAATGAATTTATCAAATCATCTGAAGTTTTAAAACGAGTCTCCGTGGAGCATTTTAGTTCATCAAACAATGCATCAGCTTTTGAAGATTTCAAATCATCTATTATTGAACTTAATTTTGGCAAATTCTTCGATACAAAGTTTTGATTAATGGCTTGTTCTGTTTTCTTGAACTCTAGATCTGGTTTATTAGATCCTAACGGATGCTTTTTGACAGGTGATGGTATTCTAGATGAAATTGATGAGACTCTCTTGGAAGGAGATGCTGGTGCAATGGATTTCGATGTAGTTATAGGGCTTACTTTTGATTGTTGTTTCTTTGATGGCACAGCTGGTTCTTCTTCCGGTTCAATATTTTCCTTTGTGAGCTCCTTCTCTGATTGTTCTTGTTTTTCTTCAGCTGGCTCAACTTTCTTCTTTTTACCTCTCCCACGAGCTTGTTTCTTTGGTGCTTGAATCAAAGATATGTTAGTTTCTTGGATCTGTTGCTTGGATCATATACTCACGCTCTTCAACTTCTGGAACATCCTCCTCAATTAGTTGTTGATCTTGTTCTTCCTCCTCCTTCTTGTTTCGTCTAGTGGATCTGGTGCCAGTCTTTCTCTTTGGAGGCATTATCAATTGGGATCTCTAGAAATGGTTGTTGATAGATCAATGTTTTGATTTGAATCTATATTTTTTTTTGTTTACATCTCGAAAATCAGGAAAAACAAAAGGAAATATCCAAAATAGGAAATAGCTACATCTGGATATCCGAAGAATCTCCCACGTGATCCTTTTTGAGCCACATCCGACCTTTCGCGCTCAGGAGAAAAAAACGAAAAAGTTTCAAGAAAAAGGTCCAAATTCAAGAAAACACAACAACGACTTCGACCGGTTCAGTAGAGCAAAATCCATCAACAAAACAAACCCTGATTAACTTGTTTCTAACCGAGAAGGTGTTATTCGACCGTTGGCACAAGCTAGACAGACTATTTTGAAAGAGAGAGAGATTGCTTACAATGTCTTCGTATCCCCAAAGACCAGTCCACCAAAATTACCAAAGGCTCAATGAACTATTGGATGCCATCAAGGAGGAATTTGAAAATGTCAACAATGAAGCTTCAAGTTTTAGACTACACAAGAATGAATATGACTTGAAATTTAATCAGCAAACAAGTGAGATGCAACAGATTAGACAAACCGTTTATGATCTGGAAATGGCTCATAGAAAGATAAAAGAAGCTTATGAAGATCAAATCAATAGATTAAAAAATGAATTGGAATTGAAAGATAGACAATTGGCATCAATTCAACAACAACAGCAACAAAATCCAAACCAACCTTTGTTAAGTAATGGTTCAAATAATTTACCAAAGCCTCAATTTGGTTACAATCAAGGTTCAAATGCCAATACTCCTCAACAACCTCAATCTCAATTACCATCAGTTCAACCACAACAACATCAATTACCACCACCTCCAACTACTCAACAACCACCAGCCTCTCAACAACAATTACCACCAGTTGGTTCAGTTCGTCAACAATCAACTTCTCCAAATCAACCAAAAACGGAACCAGCTTCATTAGCTCCAATCCCTTCCCAACCCCAACAACAAACTCCATATCAAGAAGCTAAACCAACTGCTACTCCAAGTGGTGGTGCTGCAAGTGCTCAACCAGTTACTGCAACAACTCCATCTGGTGGTGCTTCATCTACTGCTGTTGCAACAACAACAAATGCAACCAACGGAGGTGCTGGATATTTAGTTCCAGCTAATCAAAGAGCTACTCATGCAAAGCAAATTCCACCTTTTTTACATGATTTAGAATCTACTTCAGTTCCAGCTCATTTAAGAAAATTACAACCAGAATATTATATCTTGTATAATCCATCATTACCTAAGACGGTTGATGTTGAATTAGTTCATTCATTAGATCATTCATCAGTTGTTTGTTGTGTTCGTTTTTCAAATGATGGTAAGTTTTTAGCTACTGGTTGTAACAAGACTACACAAGTTTTCGGTGTTGAAACTGGTGAATTAGTTGCAAGATTAGCTGATGATAATACCGCTTCAGAAAATGGGAACAGTGGTGCAGATTTATATATTAGATCTGTTTGCTTTTCACCAGATGGTAAATTTTTAGCTACAGGTGCTGAAGATAAAGTTATTAGAATTTGGGATCTTTCCACAAGAAGAATTACTAAATATTTAAAAGGTCATGAACAAGATATTTATTCATTAGATTTCTTCCCAGATGGTAATAGATTAGTTTCAGGTTCTGGTGATCGTACAGTTAGAATTTGGGATTTACAAAGTGGTCAATGTTCATTAACTTTATCAATTGAAGATGGTGTCACTACAGTTGCAGTTTCACCAGATGGTAAATTAGTTGCAGCAGGTTCATTAGATCGTACAGTTCGTGTTTGGGATTCATCCACTGGGTTCCTTGTTGAAAGATTAGACTCAGAAAATGAAGCAGGCACTGGACATAAAGATTCGGTTTATTCAGTTGCCTTCACATCAGATGGATCTGAAGTTGCTTCAGGTTCATTAGATCGTACAGTTAAATTATGGTCATTAAAACAATTGGGTAATGGAACTTCATCAAATACACAATCTAAAAATGTTACAGCATGTGAAGTTACATATGTTGGTCATAAAGATTTTGTCTTGTCAGTTTGTTCATCCCCAGATTCTCAATATATTTTATCAGGTTCAAAAGATCGTGGTGTGATATTTTGGGAAAAGAAGACCGGTGATCCATTATTAATGTTACAAGGTCATAGAAACTCAGTTATTAGTGTTTCTGTTGCTAATAATGCTATTAGTGGTGCAGGTATGTTTGCTACCGGTAGTGGTGATTGTAAAGCTAGAATTTGGAGATGGAATAAAGTTCAAAATTAAAGGCAGGGTCCTATAATTTGATGGAGAAAATGAATTAAAACATATGGGAGAATCAACTATTTGATCATGTGTGTGTCTTGTGCTGTTTGTTTTTTTGTTTTATGTGTTGATCACTCTGATCCTTTTTTCATTTTATTTTTTCAGAGTTGATTATTGTTTTTTGAACTTGATCTTTTTTTTCTTCTTCTTTATCTTTTGCCCTTGATAATATTAATATTATTACTTGACTTTTTGTGTTATATATATTAGGTTTGTTGTTTTTACAAAAATACAAATTATCTTATTCAAAAGCAAAACGTAGTACTTAATGCAACTTTTAGTTCAACCATTCTAACAAATATTATACAAATAATTACATAGCAAATATTAACTAATTAATTAGGCTTTTGGAAACCCATCAGCACCAACTAATGATTCATTGGTATCTTGAGGACCATCACCAACTTTAGTTAAAATGATTCTTGAAACACCTTTATATAATTCATCATCTAATTGAAATTGAATCTTGGAACTATTTGAATTGAATTCAGATGAAAATTTATTCAATTCATCTTGAGAAAATTTTTTAGACCAACCTTCAACTTTATCAAATAATTGATACAAGAAACTTAGGATCTTAGATTCATTGAAATCTTCATAATAAATAACAGCATTTGGACCTGCATCAAAAGTATAAGCTGCAATAGTTTCACCATAAAATTCATTAATTGAATGAACTAATTTAATGATTTTTTTAGATGTATCATTTAGATAAAAAATTGGAGGATAAGAATCTAGACAAGTTGAATGGAAAGAATTTGAATCCTTCATTGTTAATTCTGCGAAAACTGGGAAATTCTTGTCAATTATTGATTTTTTCATTTCTTCAAATCTTTTTGGAACAACTTCTTTGATTCTCCATTGAAACAAATCTGAAGTTTTAACAGTTGTTTGCATACCACTTGTTGATGGAGTATCTTTTTTATCAGCACTAACAACCAAGATTGCAGCTTTTAAATTTGACCAATGGGATAAAGGAGCAACTTCAACAGCTTTTGAGTCTGAACCGTCTTGTGCATCACCCATTTCCCAAGCAACATATCCACCAAACAATGATCTACATGCAGAACCTGAACCTTTTCTTGCAATTTTGGAAATTTCTGAAGTTGATTGTGGTAATTTATATAATTTAGCAATTGCAACAACTAAAGCTGAAAATCCAGCAGCTGAAGAAGCTAACCCAGCAGCAGTTGGGAAATTATTTTCAGACACGATATGTAACCCCCAACTAGATATTTTAGGTAAGGATGAATCTGATTGTTCCAATTCTTGACGTAAACTTCTTAAATCTTTTAAACAATTTTGAGTTCTTTCAGAGTTTAAAGATTCTTCTTTACCATTTAGCCATAGTTTATCTTGTTTGAACTCTTCAGAAGTGGCAACAGAGGTTAAAGTACGTAAATCATCTTGAGATAAAGTGACAGATATTGAAGAATTTGTAGGCAAGTTCAAATCCTTGTCTCTTTTCCCCCAGTATTTTAGGGTCTTGAAAGAAGGCGGTTAGTTTTGGATGTCAATTGATGTAGTGGTGATCTCTTACTCACTGCAATGTTAACTGGAGCTGTAGTAGAAGCCGTGTAAACCACCATTTTCGTCTGGTTCTAATTTGTTTTTATCAACTGATCGAATTCAAATTCATTTTCATTTTCATCAACAAAAACAAAAAAAATTAAACGACGGATTTTTTGCAAAACGCATTCGCGGTATGATTATGTAATTACAAAACGTTACCCTCTTTTGAACGTTTTCTGGTAAGAGCAGCATTATGATAAAGTAATCTCTGACTAAGCATAGGGTTCAAGTAATAAGAACATGATCTAATGAAATAGATCTACTTGGTATTGAATATAGTTAGATTTGATATTACGACTAATGTTGTAATCTTGATCTTCATTTGATCTCTTTCTTCCGTTGGAAATGGCTTTAAAAATAATCCATTTCATGATCCTCCGAGAAACCATTTGAAAAGAAAATTAATTAGTAAAGAATTATCTTGAGCAAGAACCCAATCCATCCAGGAATTACCCACTAATCATGTTAAGATCGCATTCTATCTTCCTTCTACAGAGCTCTATAAGGTGTCAATTCCCCAAGACTTCAAAGACATTCTTGTTAAGACGTCTTTTAACAACTCCAACAAAACCAACAAATCAAATCATTAAAACACCTGAACCACCAACTTCAATAACATCCAGTATAAAACACAATGATAATAGATTCACTCAAAAGGAAAGAGATGAAGCAGCTGCCCTTAGGTTGAAAAGTCTTGGTCCATACGTTTCAAAATTACCAACTTCTTGGATCCCATATGCTGAATTGGCAAGATTAGATAAACCTGTGGGGACTTGGTTATTATATATCCCATGTACTTGGTCAATTCTAATAGGTGCTCAACAAATAGGTGCACCATTAGGCTCTACGTTGGGGATGTTGGCTATATTTGGTACAGGGGCTTTAATCATGAGAGGGTTTGGTTGTACTGTTAATGATTTATTAGATAAAAATCTTGATAATAAAGTGTTGAGAACTATAGAGAGACCAATTGCAAGTGGCCGAGTTAGTCCATTCCAAGCTAAAATGTTTGCAGGTGGTCAATTAGCAGCAGGATTAGCTGTTATTTTGCAAATACCTTGGGATTGTTTCCTTTTAGGTTCTTCATCATTATTCCTTGTTTGTACATATCCATTATTTAAAAGATTTACTTATTATCCACAAGCTGTGTTATCATTAGCCTTCAACTGGGGTGCATTGTTGGGGTTCCCAGCCATGGGTGTTTGGGATCCAAATGTTATGATTCCATTGTTTTTATCAAGTTTCTGTTGGACAATGACTTATGATACAATTTATGCCCATCAAGATAAAAAATTCGATATAAACGCAGGTATTAAATCCACTGCATTGAAATGGAAAGATCATTCAAAGAAAATCTTTGTTGGATTAACAGCTACTCAATTAAGTTTATTAGCATTAACTGGTGTAAATGCTGGAATAATTACAGGACCTGGTTTTATCATTGGGAGTGGGATATTCGCCTATAGATTAGTGCAAATGATCCGCAAAGTTGATTTAAATGATCCAAAGAGTTGCTGGTCCCATTTCACAGGGAACATCAGCTCAGGATTGTATTTTTCTTATGGATTATTCTTTGATTATTTATTACAAGTTTTTGGCATATTGTGAACATGAGTGTATTTATCAATAAAATATTAATAGTGAAAAATTCAAATTGTAAGTACAAAACCATTAAAAACTCTTAAAACAAGCTAAAAAAAGCCATGTCCACACAAAATAACCGAGTAAAGAAGCCTAGAGTCACCAATTTCAAATCATCAGACCGTCGTTTGGCTGCTGGAATACGACCAGAATCGTTTTTATTGAGTCAACAACACCAAAATGTGAATATTTCACCAGCTATTCAAAAACATCAACCAATAATAAAAGGAACAAACACAAAGAATAATAAAAACAAGAAGAACCACAATACAGATCCAACATTAGAAGAATGGGATCCAGCACATTTTAGATTATTTGTGGGTAATTTAGGTTCTGATGCAAATGATACAATTTTATTGAAATCATTTGGGATTTATCCAAGTGTTACAAAAGTTAAAGTGCCCATGGATAAGAATGGGGCTAATAAAGGTTATGGGTTCGTTGCATTTAGTGATCCAAATGATTATTTGAAAGCTTTTAAAGAACTGAATGGGAAATATATTGGACATAATCCATGTGTTTTAAAGAAGGCTAATGATTTGAAGAAGAAGAAGTGAGAAAATGAACCAAAAAAACAGAGTAATTTACAAATTTTTAAGTGAAATAATCCAAAATTGATCTTTTTAATTAGAATTTATCATGATTTTTAGTGTCTATTTTTGACGTAGTAATTTCTTCATTTTTTTAAGGCCCTTGACGTGAATAATTTTCGTCAAAATTAAAAAACCAAAAATTGGCCCATAATCATGATCATCATCAACAACTTCATCAACATAAACAACTTAAAAATGAGTCTGAAAAGACCTCTTTTCCTACTTCCCTCGTTGAAACAACACCTGATAACACCAAAATTCATTCCTTTATCACTCAGATACTATGCTTCATCTTCAAAACAACCAATTCCCAAATCACATCATCCATCACCTCCACCAACAATAAAACAGAATAGAAACCTACCAGATTCATTCAAGAAAACCATACCTGGAGAAACTGAGCAATCAAACTCATTAATGTCAAGATTACCTTCATTCCCATTACGTAACAATGCAACATTATTACCAAAACCTGGAGTACCAACTTCAGCAACACATTCATTAAGATCAATGTTGGAGATTTTAAATAATAAAAAAGCACCTGAATTGATTTATGAGAGTGAACCACATAAATTATGTTTCTTATGTTGTGGTGCATTTGCCCTAGTTTTCACAATATATGGATTAAGTTTCTTACAATGGTCAAGTTCAACAGCTTATGAATTATATAAACTTGATGATGATTTATATTTATTCTTGGGTAGAATTGGTGTTAATTTATTGATTGCATCAGTTGCAGGATTATTAGTGACGTGTGCTGTATTGTTCCCAACAAGATTAATTAGAAGAATTTATTATTTACCTGGTGATAAGAAAATCAATGATCATATTAAATTCACTACACATCCATTATTACCAGGTCGTACAACACCTGTTCATACTATCCCATTGACAAAGTTGAATAGAACTAAAAAAGGTCGGATTTTCACCAAGAATGGTATTTATGGGACTTTGGATAAGAGTACATTATTTTTCCTTTTAAAAGAACAAGATGCCAAGTTTGGATATTGGATAGTTGATAGAAATGGTTGGTTTTGGGGTGATGGTCGAGTCTTTGATGTTTTATTTGGTAAAGATTCATTAAATGAAGCTGAAAATGCGCTAACTTATGATGAAAAATTTGGTCAAGCAAATAAGAAATTAAAAGAAGAAAAAAAAGAATTGAAAAATCAATATGGTCAAAAATGGCCATTGAAAATTGGTGCTGAAATTATTAAAGAAGATGTTGGTAAAGTGATTTCAAAGATAAATAAAAGAGATCAAAAAAGTAAATTGAGAAGGGAAATCAGTGCTAAAAAAGTGACAAAGAACAAGAAAAAATGAGTTACATTTATATTTATTTTATACTGTATATAGAATTTATCAAATGATTGTAAATAATCAATTTCTACAAAGTAAAAATAACCCAAAATTTTTCATATCCATTATATAAAAACGCCAAATAATCAAAATAGTATTTCCCATAAATCAAAAAGGTAGTAAAATCAATCAATGACAATTGGATCATTTGATTGGTCATCCAGAACAACAACTTCATCGTCATCATCATCAATAACTTCAACAACTTCATTTGTCTTAGGTTTCTCTGGAACTGTTTGTTTCCGTTTTGGTGTATTTCCCACTAGTTTATTAAATTCTTCCATCGCCTTTGCATTTCTAGCCAATAATTCATTTGTAGCTTTATCTTTATCTTTTGATAAATCTGGAAACTCTCTTCTGAAAACAGGATTATTCAAATTAAACCCATGACTAGATTTAGCATAATTTTGTCTCACTAAAGGAGTAGTGGTACAACAACCAGTAGCAGGTTCATTACCAGTCATAAAACTAACCAAGGCAGTCAAAATTGTAGAAACACTCCAAGCAGGATTCCAACTTTCTGGATGGAAATCACTCATACTTAGACAAATTTTTTGATTAGGTACAAAACGACCATTTGGAGTGAAAACACGAATCCCTGGAGGTTTGAAAGGGTATTGTGGAGGGAAATTCAAAGAACCATGATATTCACCACCTTCAAAAGCTGAAACCTGGAGGACCTGTAATGATGAAATGCCAGTCCAATATATTTGATTCAGATGGATGAGTTTGGATTAAATCAACTGGGTTTTCCACGATTTTCTTGTATTCTTTTGTTAACCTTTTGGAGCACTGAGGAGAGGCCATTATGAGTAGCTAGTGGAGGGTATAACAATGGGAAGAAGATGGATTGTGATCAGTTGAAAGTAGTTGAAATGAATTAAAACTAGTAAACTAAAATGTTTTTGGATCACAAAATTGACAATTCACAAAAGTCGCGAATTTGATTTTATGAAGAATTTGAATTGATTTTGGTTTAATTTTGATTTGAATTAATGATTTTGGAAGTGTTTTATAGTGATTTTAGAGATTTTATATTTGGTCTTATATTGGATTAGTGATTTCTTTGTTTCTTTGTTTCTTTGTTTTATGTAATTCAAATGCTTATTTGTGGAATTTGGCTTGTTCTTTGTTCTACATTGATGGTAGTTAACTATAAAATTATATTAGCAATATATATCAGTTTAATGGCAATTCCAACGCGTGTTTTCTATCAAATTCATCGATTCTTCTTCATTTTCATTGATTTAATTCATTTTTATCAATTTTCACCAATTTTTTATTTCATTTTCAATTTACGCGTCATGATATTTTTGAGGACTAGTCTCTTATTCTTACATAAGCAACTTTAGAGTTAGGGTTACAGCCTAAACGGGTCTAGGCACTGCACCCCATACAAAACGCAGGGGAGTCTTGAGTCTGGCCTAGTAATACGTCTGGGTCTGGTCAGGTCTAGGACTAAAAAATAAAACCAAAAAAACGAGATAATAGGAATTTCCAAAAGGTATAAAAAGAATTGGAATTTGGACTCTTTTCATTTTAATCATTTGAGCTTTAATTTGGTACAACTGAAGCTGTGCTGTTGGTGCTGGTGCTGTTGGTATTGCTGCCATGTCCCTCTTCAAAATCATCAACTTGGCTCAGGTCCATGCTGCTAGAGGTGCTGATTCGATCCTTCGTTATACAACCCGTTTTGGTATTTATAGAATTCAATTGTTTAAAACGTTGTTGATTTCAACTTTGTTATTGATATTCATCACCCAGATCTTCCATTCTTTAAGCTCATCATCATCAGAACAAGCTCATAAGGATCTTTTGGTCATTAAACCTGAAGATGTTTATAACTCCCATTATGATTCTTTAGTGGATTTGCAAAACTTGGAACATTTAGGTTTGAACCAAAGATGTAATACTTTTTTCGAAAAATTATCATCAAGTCAAGATTTCAAAGACTTTGATTGGTTTAATGCAAATTTAAAAGATGTGAAAATTGTACCAAAATTGAAAACTTTCATAGAACAAAAAAAACTGGAACATAAACAAGATGATAAGATTCCAAATGATAAAATAAAAGAATGGGAAAAGGAATATAATTCAAATTTCAGTAATGATAAGATATATATGAAAAGATTACTTGATTTCATTTCAAATCTAAGAATCTATGGAACTTGTTATATTGAAAATAATCTATTCAATGAAATTACAGGTGCTAAAAAGGCTTATAATTTATTTTGGGATGATGAAGCTAAAAAGGATTTAACAAATTCAAATACCTTCCAAATCTCAAATGAATTAGAAATTAGATTATTCCCATGGATTACTAAAATTTATCCAGTTTTCAAGCATGGTTTAAAACAATTGAGTGTTGGATTACCTCAGATTTCCAATGATGCTGATAATGATGACCAGGATTTCAATTCAAAATCTTCATTCCTGTACAATTATAAACATGGGTTGAATGGGAAAGGTATTGTTATTCCAATTTATGATTCTTCAGATATAAAATATCTCTTCAAAATTTCCAAAACTCTAAGATTTATTGGGAATAAATTACCAATTCAAATTGTTCATAAAGGTTTAATTGATGAAGATGATGAAAAGAAAATCTATGAAGCATTTACCAAAGATATAGATGGTGATGAATTCTTCCATACAGATATAATTGATTCATTACCAAATGGATATGATACAACTTTATCAAAACAAGATATATATTTTGTTGATATTAAAATGTCAATCACTGATATTTATTCCAAATCAATTATGAATCGTGTCAAATTTAAAAATTTTGCCATCTTGTTTAGTTCATTCCAAAAAATCATATTATTAGATCCATCAATTTTACCATTCAATAAACTAACAACTTTATTACAAAATGAACAATTCATTCAATCAAATTCATTATTTTTCCCAGATTTGAGATATTCAACACCTGCAAAACTAAATGAAGTTGAATTCTTTACAGATTTATTACCAAATAAAGTTGATTCTCATTTCTTTGGTATTGAACAAGTTTCATCAGATTTCGTCAAATCTTCAAGATTTTTCCACAAGAATTTTGCCCAACTGGTTAACAATGATGTTGTTGTGTTAAACAAACGTGATAATTTCCTTGGTGTGTTGTTATCTTTAAGTATTAGTCACCTACCATTGAAATTTGAAACTCCATTCATTGAAAATGAATTTGTTTGGTTAGGTTCTTTATTATCTGGTGAGAAGGTTTATTTCCATGACACTCCAACAAGTTTAATTGGTACTTTTACTGATGATTCAAATAGACGTATTAAATTATCAGCTTCCAAAGAGATTTGTTCAAGTCATAAAGGTGTTTTCGATAATGATAATTCAACTTTAATATTCATTACCAATGGTGCTTTTAATTGTGATGAAGATAATATTGAATTGGAAAAAGATGTTGATAAACCATTTTTCAGAGGATTTGAAGGTAAAGTGGAAAGTTTAAAGAAATGGCAATTGGAAAAGACAAGTTTTAAAGCTGCCATAATTCCAGTGGCTCAAGAGTTTCAAGTGCCAAATAAGATTGATGAAGTTGCTGTTTCGATATCTAATGAAGAGCATTATTGTAATAATCAAATGTTGTGTGTTTATGATATATTGGGTGCTAAAGATGATGCCCAATACCATGGTCAAGTTATTGAGATTGATTCTAACCAACATCAAGTTGTTGAATATATTGAAAAGTTGTGGTCATAAATATAACTACATTAATGTATAATAATAAAATATGTATTCAATTCTTCCAACTTCCTTTGAAATGATGGAAAACATATTGCCTTGGATCATGTTCTTTATCAGCAAGATAAGCTGGTGGTAATAATAAAACATCTTCATCAAACAAGATTGGATATTGCAATAATGTTAGGTTTTGCCATCCAATAGGTCTATGGATTGGATCATAGCTTGACATATGTCCATTATCTTTAGGTTTAGCATATTTGATTTTCTTTTGAAGACTTAATGGATTTCTATTAATGATATTATCCTGTTTGAAATTCACCCCAGGGTTTAACTTTTCAGTTGTTTTGTAAACTTCATTAAGATAATCAAACACGGTATCTGTAAACATTGCAGGACCTGTCCATTCCATAACACCATCATATTTTGTGGAGCTTCCATCATTAAAATCAAATTTTTTACCATTCTTGGTTAAAATTTTAGTAGTTTCATCATAATGATTTAAAGATAAATCAGCAATTCTATAAATCAATTCTCTGAAAAATGGATGTCCAGGTTTAGCTTGTAATGTCCATTGACAAAATTGTAAACGACGAGGCATATAAACTATCCAAGCTTTATCATCACGATCACTTTCAATTCCAATAGTAAGACCAATCTTATTATTTGAAGGATCTTGAATCATTGTATTGTTATATGATAACCAATTAGATAGATTTGATTTTAAAGACGTATCAATATCTGAATAAACACCTCCTTTAGCGAAAAGAATCAAATATCTAATAAGATCACTTTGTAAAATGACTAAAGGCATTTTTTTGAAAGCTTTTGAAATTTCAGGTATTTCATTGATAAAAATATCATCAACAACTTGATCATTTTCATGATTTGGTATAATTTTATGAATAAACCCATCTTGATCATCCCAAGTTTTAATCAATATTTGTAAACCTTGATCTAAAGTTGATACATCATTAGTTTTCTACATTTGCCAAATATTATGAGGAATAGGTTCATTTGATTTAGTATATGGGAATGCTTGTACAAGTTTCAATCTTAAATCATCAGGTTTATAAATTTGAGATATTCTAAATTGATCAACAGATTTAAAAGTGTATTTGACCCATAATTCATCTATTGTTTGATTGGTTGGAGCATGAAACTTGTAAAGACCCAGATTAATCAAGACTATTGTCAAGATTGCAGCTAGTGGTATGAATTTTGTCTTGTATAACTGCATTTTTGGGTATAAAATACGTTGAACCTAAGAAGATTGAATTCTCAAATATTCATCACCACTTTGAGCTTTATATATTCACCATTTCACCAAGGGCCAAAGGGGGCCAGGCCCATGCCTTGTCAACAATAGATATAGAAATAATATTTTATTATTAAATTAACCATCTTTATTGTGCACAATGGCTTAATTGCAACAATAGATAACGGTACCGTGACACGGACTAGACTCTTCAAGGCACACCAACCATTGATCAATATCTAATCACCATTATAACCTACACTCTCATGAACATTCTGAATATATCATATTGAACCATTATAATCATGATGAGCTATTTTTCATGTTGTTCAATATCATGCTCAACCAACATTTAAATTACGAGACTAGCTCTTCACATCTTTTCACCAACTAAGCACAAGACCATCACTCCGTTAAGTAACATGAGACACTGGAGCCTAAACTGCATGTATACCTGGTCTCAGATATAACTTCAAGAACCAATGAAACCACCTCAACTGCTCACAAAACACCAGAAAAGCCGTATAGAATCCAGATCATCTATTCCTTAATCATTTTTCTTCAGCCATGGAATTATTCATGTAACCAGTTCATTACCAGTAAATCTCCTATCTTAATCCTAATCTCCAAATAAGCCAATTATAGCACAACTTGAAGTTAAATTCATGATCCTTCACGTCGTCACAATGAAAAGTTTATCACACTTACATTTTTCATTAAAGTTTATTTTCTGAAGTCCGGGTCGAGCCTAGACTTCCCGATTGGGAAGTGAAAAGACAACTACTTGTGAATAATAAAGTGCTAATATTATTGTACTAGCTAGCTTCTTGTATCTGTCTCAGACTAATATTAAAATGGTCATCAAGACGAGTATAATTCGCATTAACCCAAGTTCCAACTGACCACAATTAGACCACCTAATTGATCTGTACATGTTTCTTTGTTGCAACACTAGTCTAGGGTCCAAACGTCTTTTCCTGAAACTGATTCTATTTGAGCAAATTAATCAACAGCACAGTTGATTTAGGTAATAGGAAGTTCCTGAAGAAGAAACCCTGATCCAGCGTAGCACGGTGTTGTTTATTACTGTTTTATAACGTATCCATATTGTTCCTCGTATTCGCTTCAGGATTCAATTTTCAGAGACTACCTCGGACCTTTGACACATTTCTTCGCCAAAGGAACAGACTATATTGATATGATGTTGGTGGCCTAGCTATTGTTAAAAACCCTAAAATAAACGGCCAATCAGCAAATTACATTTAATAGAGTAAAGCATCCATGATTCATGATTTAACATCTATTCATTTCAACCGCATTCTTGATCTCTGATTTAAACTAACATCTTCTAGTTATTAATAGTTCAAAGATTCATACAAATCTCCAATTCAGCCAATCAAGGCTCAAGGCTCAAAAACGTATTTTTCAAATAAACTTTATTTTTTATCTGAGCCTAGACTTCCTAATCGGGAAGCAAGTGGTCTTGACGCAATTTTACAGTACTTAAACAAAAGAAAATGGTTCATTAATTAATTGAATTTTCAACTCTTCCAACTACCTTTGAAATGATGCTGAGTATAATCATCAGGCTCACCTTTTTTACCATTGAAATAGATAATAGGTAGCAACAACACATCTTCATCAAATAGAATAGGGTGCACTTGTTTTGTAATATTCTGCCATCCAATTGGTCTTTCAATTGGATCGTATTCATTATGCCAACTTCCTTTCAAAACTGGGTATTTAATCTTTGATTGTAGATCCAATTCCCAATTTGGATTAATCATTCTTTCTTTAGCAAAATCTAAACCTGGTGTTAAACTTTCACTTTTCTTATAAACATCATTTAAATATTCAAATAACACATCTGTAAACATCCCAGGACCTGTCCATTCCATAATACCTGCAAACTTAGTTGGAGAACCTGAATTCATATCATATTCTTGACCATTCTTAGTTAGGATATTTGTTTCTGGGTTGAAATGATTTAATGCTAAATCTGAAATTCTATAAATCAACTGTCTATAGAATGGATGTCCAACTTTAGATTGAATAGTCCATTGACAAAATTGTAAACGACGAGCCATACCATTTCTTGCCCAACTTTTTTCATCACGATCACTTTCAATACCTATTGTCAATCCAACTTTATTATCAACGTCATAAATTTGATCTTTATAAATAAACCAATCCAAAATATCTTTATTTAATGAAGTATCAATATCTGAATAAATTCCTCCAAATGCAAATACTAATAAATATCTCATGAAATCAGATTTCAAAATGATTTTAGGCAAGATATGGAAAGCTTTTTGAACTTCAGGAACATCAACAAATGTTGAATTAACAATAACACTTAGTTGATCATCGCCAATTAATTCATATTTAAAAGAGCCTTTTGTTTCATCTTGTTGAGTTGTCCAAGTCTTGATTAAATCTTGTAAACCTTGATCTAAATTTCCTATATCATTATTCTTCCACATTTGCCAAATGTTTCTAGGTGGTTTTTCAGTGGTTTTTTCATAAGGGAAGGCTTTTGATAATTTGTATCTAATATCATCATTATTCCAAACTCTATGAATGTTGAAATCATCAACACTTTTATAACCTTTATAATATTCTTTATATACTTTATTCAATCTGATTTTAGATGGTTCATGGAAATATAATAGGGTCGTAAAGGAAACATTCACTATGATTATCATCAATAGTACCAGGATAAAAGCCCTACTTTTCTTAAAAGCTGGAAACATATCTTTTTCTTTTAGATCTAATTCAAAACGGAAACTTGTAAAGAATAGACCAGCTATTAAACCGCCCAAGTGTAACTATATGGTTCCACGTACTATGGAAGGTGGAAAGAAGAAAACATTTCAACATCCTTCAAGAAAATATTTTTTAAAATGGGAACTGGACGTTATCAAGATTTCAAATGTTTTAACGTTGTTTAACGTACTGTAATCGAATCAGGCACACGAGTCTCAAGACTAACGCAGTGCCCCTGTCAGGGATTTGCGACAATAGCTCCTTGTTCGGGAATCTGCAACGTCTCGCTTCTGCAAACACTAGCCCAAACGGGAATATTTGGCAGAACTATTTCGGTTTCCAGTAATCATTGACGCTGTACATGGCCTAACTGGGAACTATGTATGATAGGATATATATAGGTATTTTGCAATTGAAGTTAGTATCATGAATTAGATGAAATTGGATGTTTCCTATCCTCTTCAGTCTAGATTTGACCCTGGTTTCATTCTCACCAAGTCCGCAGGCACTGTTAACTTTTAAGCCAGTCAAAGTAGCGTAGTCTAGTTGCAAATCATTTGCATTAAAAAAAATCTCACCTGGAATCTTTCAACAAAGGGCTATCAACTATCAGCTAGTCCAATTAATTACTCATGATATAAATCAAGAAAGGGTGCCATCTTTTATCACCTAGCGTAGCATCAGCACTACAAGTATCTGACGTAGTAGTTGCTCGTCATAATAAAGCTAACAAACTCTTGTTCGATATTAATCTGGATGAAACGTCCTCACTTATAGACTGGAGACTGACTGGTACACAGCTAATTATATTTACCAGCTGTACTGCAAGTACATATATTGAGCAAAAAAATATAGAGGTACTATTGTAGTCAAATTGTGGTCCTTGCTAGTACTAGTCGAATTAATATTAATATTGTTACAAAATATTATCATGAACTTTATCTAAATAATATCGATGAAGCTAGTCGACGTCGACGTCGTAGCTGAAGGGGTAATCAAATGTCGACATTGATGGATTATAATGGATCCACATTAGTACCAATTACTTGCTGACGACAGAGTGTGTGAGACTATGAGACCGTTATACTGACGTTTCGATATAATCAGAGACGCTATATTATTGTTCATTAATTTAGTTGCCCGAATACTATATTAATATTAGCCTTCGGCGATTGTGTAGATGCCGGAGTGCAAAAAAAAATTGTACGGTACGTTGATTCTTGTATCAACTAATTATTATTCATCTTATACACAACAACCACTAGGAACCCGTTTATAATCCTTCAACTCTTCATGAACTGATTTTATCTCCGCAGTGGGCTTTATCCCTTCAGCAGTTATAACATGGAACCAGGAATCCCAATCTCAAGTCTTTAATGTCAGTTCCACCAAAGGTGTTGTGATATTTGATCATTAAAAACATTGAGAAGAGACTTGACAAATCTTCACCAACCAGTATACTCACCTTATTTTCCATAACGAGATGTATCACAGGTTTGGAAAGCCTTCATAACTAGCTTTTTACAAGCTCCCAAACAGTATTATAACCTAATTATAGATGTCTGTAACGAAAAAAAAAAGGTTCCATAGAGTGATAGTATTCCCTCTAGATATGATCTAGTGGAAAGTCAACAGATGGCGCAATGATACTAGTTCCCACTCAAGACTCAAGACTCAAGAGAGTGCCTTGATCCAAACTACATGATCAGCCAGCATGAATGAAAAAAGGCGGACCTTATAATGGATAGTTGAGCTTTCTCAGCTTTATTATACCATATTGTCACCAACAAAAATCCTCAGGTTCTACTCTTGTTATACTCGAGAGTCCAATAGTATCCAATTATATTACTAAGATACGATCATAATCAATGAGATACAGGCCTTTGTGCTTAAATTATTATATATCATCACTCGAGAGTGAGTTGTTTGGTTTGATAATTTCTAGAATTTAAATCATGTACATATAAAAATTTGTACAAATAATTTGTGGAATATTAAGGCCTCATGGAGACTTAAAGAGCCAACTAATATAAACAGTTTTAAGATATTAAACCCGCGTGTTTGCGTGTAGTCATAGCGCTATGACTGTAGTCTGTTTAAAGACTTTGAATCCGTTGTGCAAGAAGTTGTACACGTCTGTTGCATATAGGCTTGTAGAGAAACGATTAGTGTGAATGAAATTCACCAGTGGAACGCGTTTCACGGCCATTTCATGAAATTTCAGAGTTCAAAAATCTACCATTTCAAAATTCAAATCGGTCAACTTCAACCTGTACTGATACATCATCCATAAAGGCGTTGAATTGGACTGAACTGAACTCTTGAACAAGATGGGAATTGAAATCTTTAAATAATTCAAAAGTGGCCAAAGGCCGTATATAGCCCAATACTACAGATCAAGATCATGATGAAGCTTTAAACTTTTGTGGATTTGAATTTGAACGAGCGTGATATGTACTATCAACAAGCGACAAATTTATAGCTTAGTTACAACTTATAATTTGTACGAGTCACCATATCCTCATGCTTCAGTCATTCCTATTATCAAAACAATGTTCTCTGTGTAAATTATGGTTCGTGGCTCATGTTCAAGTTATAACAGTAGCAAGATCGAGATCTCGATTTTTGATCAAAGCGGAATATGGGATGTACAATTGATCGATATTCTCATCAACTCGAGAACTAGATCACACCAGAATCCAGATGTTGATTCTTGAAAGATGATATGAAGTTGTTTGACCTTTGAATTACGCTTTGTTGTCGACTTTGTGCTTGAATTGGCCAGAAATACAATAGAATTGTACACCTTTGGATATCTTGATGTACATAGAACATCACTGTTTGTGTACTCCTTGTTCCTTTGTTGAAAAATCCATCACCTGTGGAATCTTGTTTGAATCAGCATCTAGATCAAGGTTTTGTATAGAAATGTGTAGATCTCTTCTCAAGAAAGACACCAAAGTGGAAATTTTGATAAGCTGTTGGAAAGAAGAATCTGAAATCTTTTTGTTCTGTGACTGGTCAAATTCTGAAAAACAGAAATTGAAATTGCAAATTTTCCGATGACGATCTGGTTCTAAATTTACTTCAACAAAAATCGCTTGGAAAGTTAGCGAGAATTCCACCATCAAGAAACCAGGCACCAAAGATAACTTCTATGTAATTGTAATCAATTGAAATTTGAATGAGTACATAGCTTTTATTGATGAATCATGATGACCTGTCTGTGTGATTATTCAAGAATCAAGAATCAAGATGCACCATCATGAGTGAGTTACATGTTACCTGTACAACTGTTGTAGATTGATGCATGTTGTGTTAAAAAAGGGATTAACTTTACAGGTTCCAATTTTTGTTCGTTCTTTGGCGGATTATAAAGTCTATAGAAAAGAACTTTCAAAGTAAGCATATAGCTAGATATATATAAGGCGAAAGTATCAGTACGTTCTCTAGGAATCCAAGCACTTTTTTGCGTATACAATTGGGTTTGTTTCTCTCTAATCCTACCATGATTTGTCACTTGTTAAACATTCGGTACGTCGTAACGTAACTTGTTCAGCCTGTGGCAGCTGTCGGAATTGATGAAAAGGAGGTACAACACCGCACCCAAAAGGTACACTGGCAACTGGTCAAGTTGTACACTTGAAATTTGGCTATTTAACAAAGTTAAAGTTCAGTCTAAGACTCATATCTTATAGATGAATCGTACCAGTATGTACTGAATTGTGTCTCTTCTCTTTAAATTGAGGTACACAACAAGGTGCTCTCTGTGTATACTTGTATTTGTTCAAACAATTGATGGATCATCCTGTTGGAATTGCTCATCAAAAACATAACCACCTGGACCACTGCTGTGGTGGATCTCATCGCTGAATTTCAAAATCAAGAACGGGGCCAGGCAAGCTCGCCAGGCTACGCCGCTACAGCTAGGCTAAAATTAGTGGGAAAGTCAAAATCGGGAAAAGATTCGCCTAGTGGGAAACCTTCTTTGGAACAATTCCAAACCTTTTTCACAACGATACCCGTGATTTTTCCTTCAAATAAACACATGTATATGCTGATTTCAAACGTGTACGTGTGTGTAGTGCACAGAAGGCAAGTGGTACTGATTACTGATTGCTTCTTTCTTTTCACAAGTTAAAACTTAAGATCCAAGAACAAAGATCTGAAAAGCCTTGAAATAAATGATTTTTACACACATGACGAATTGGTAACCTTTCTCCTAAAATCTTGAGCGTATGCTACACAATTCTTGATGTACTTTGGCTTCTTTGAGTCGTTAAGCCGACATAAATTCTAAAAATTGACGTACTTGTTGAAAATAATTTTGGTTCATGTTTTGATTTCGTTGATGGTTTTCTTTTCGCTCCCTCCTTTGAAAATACAAAATAGAAACTTCGCCTGCCCAATCGGGAAGGAGCTGCAAAAAGAAAAATATCTTGAAAGGGATGCGCTCGGTTGGCGACACACCTAGAATGTGCTTCGCAATAGCATGGAACTATCGAAACTAGAGGATTCTGAACATGACAATTGAGCTAAACTGACCCCCCAAAACACTAATCACACCATTAAACTGACCAGAACTCAATCCCTATTGTAAATTAGCAAATGTTGGGTGGCTTTTGAATATGGTTAAGCTTCATGGCTGGTTACACTAAATTAACATTGGGCGTGGGCATACCGGAGATTCCACCGCGTAATGCAGACAGTCGCCAATCAAAACCAGATTTCTTTATGCACAGGCTGGTGGAACTAGCATAGATCAAGAATTCAACATCAACAAGTAATTCCAGAGTCCAGCCCTTCACCAAAAGAAAAATTAGGTATATAATCCCCTTCACACCCCTTGATCTGATGTCTGAATTTCAAAAGGGTTCTTCTTTTACTCTTTATCCAGTACTGAATTTTTAGTCATTCGCTCCATATTTAAATTCAATAATGGTTTCATTCACTAAAAGCACTGTGCTTGCTTCCTTAATGGCTGCAGCTTCAGCTCAATACTTTAACTCATCATCAATCTTATCAAACTCATCATCTATCCCAACCTCATCAACTGTTCCAACTTCTTCAGAAGCTTCAACTTACTCTTTGACTTCTGAATCATCTGCTGAAACTTCAGGTTCATCTTCAGAATCATTCATCTACTCACCATCATCATCTGCTGCTTCAACCTCAGAAGCTTCATCAGGTTCTTCATCTGCTCCAGTTTCATCAGGTTCCTCATCTGCTGCTTCTTCTGATGCTTCCTCATCATCTGCTCCAGTTTCATCAGGTTCTTCATCTGCTGCTTCTTCCTCAGATGTTTCTTCATCCGCTTCATCTGCTGCTTCATCATCATCCGCTTCAGCTTCTGCTGAACCAACTCTTGAAGGTTACTTACAAGATGGTCAACCACACTGGAAAATCACTGTCCCAGCCGCTTTAGGTCCATGGACTGAAGTTGAAGTTACTTCATCAACTGATGGTTCCCACTACGTTTTCACCAATGTTGACATTACCATTGATGGTGAATCAGTTTCAGGTACCACTAACGTTGAAGATCTTTCATATGATGCTTCATACTCTGAATCCATCCAAGCTTCTCAAGAATTGATCTTCGAAATCTTTGCTCAAGCTACTGCTGGTGCTCCATACTCATCTGATGTTGATTTAACCATCACCACCCCAGATGGTAGAAAATTGATCAAGAGAGCTACTAAATCATTCTCATTATCAAACACCATTAACGAAGATGCTTCATCAATCTCATCCCGTGCTTCATCATCAGCTTCTTCAGCTGCTTCAAGTGCTTCATCCGCTGCCTCATCTGCTGCTTCAAGTGCTTCTTCAGCTGCCTCATCTGCTGCTTCATCTGGTGCTTCCTCTGCTGCTTCTTCAGCTGCTTCAAGTGCTTCATCTGCCGCTTCTTCAGCTGCTTCAAGTGCCTCATCTGCTGCTTCATCAGCTGCCTCAGAAGCTTCATCAGTTGCTTCCTCTGCTGCTTCAAGTGCTGCTACTTCAGGTGCTTCTTCAGGTGCTTCTTCAGGTGCTGTTACCTCTTCAGGTGCTGCTTCAACTTCAACTGCTATCGAATCAAACGCTTCAACCACCGTTGTTACCGTTACCTCATGTTCTGATAACGCTTGTTCAGAAGTCCCAGTTACCACTGGTGTCACTGTTGTCACTTCAACCATTGAAGGTACTGAAACCATCTACACCACTTACTGTCCATTAACTTCAACTGCTGCTCCATCATCAACCGTTGTTACTGCTCCAACCACCACTGTTGTCACTGTTACTTCATGCTCAAACAACGTTTGTACTGAAGTTCCAGCTACTACTGGTGTCACTGTTGTTACTGAAACCAAAGAAGGTACTGAAACTATTTACACTACCTACTGTCCATTAACTTCAACTGTTCCAGCTTCTCACGGTTCAACTGCTGCTCCATCAACCACTGGTACTGCTGCTGCTGGTACCTCCACTAAAGTTGTCGAAGCTTCTTCAACTACCGTTGTCACTGTTACCTCATGTTCAAACAACGTTTGTACTGAAGTTCCAGCTACTACTGGTGTCACTGTTGTCACTGAAACCAAAGAAGGTACTCAAACTGTTTACACCACCTACTGTCCATTAACTGCTACTACTGAAGTTCCAGTTGCTCCAACTTCTCCAGCTACTCAAGTTACTGAATCAACTTCAGTTTCTACTGGTGCTGAAACCACTGCTACTACTGTTGTCCATGTTACCAAGACTGCTCCAGCTTCTGAAGGTACTACTGCTCCAGCCACCGGTGCTACTACTGCTCCAGCTTCTGAAGGTACTACTGCTCCAGCTTCTGCTCCAGCCACCGGTGCTACTACTGCTCCAGCTTCTGAAGGTACTACTGCTCCAGCTTCTGCTCCAGCCACCGGTGCTACTACTGCTCCAGTTTCTCAAGGTACTACTGCTCCAGCTTCTGCTCCAGCCACCGGTGCTACTACTGCTCCAGTTTCTCAAGGTACTACTGCTCCAGCTTCTGCTCCAGCCACCGGTGCTACTACTGCTCCAGCTTCTCAAGGTACTACTGCTCCAGCTTCTCAAGGTACCACCACTAAAGCCCCAGCTGGTTCAGCAACTACTTTGGCTACCCAAGGTACCAGTGCTGCTCCATCAGGTACTGCTCCAGCTGTCTCTCAATTCGAAGCTGGTGCTTCTAACTTACGTGTTGGTTTCACCGCCGTTGTCGGTTCATTATTCTTCTTCTTGTTATAAGTTGATCAATTCTAAATCATCTTCATTTGTTCTAAAGGATCTGTTTTCAAGATCATTTTAAGTCCACTTTGGTGACTGTTTCTTTTTTTCCAATTTCTTTGTGTTATTTCATTCATGGTTTATTTGCTTGCTTTTTCGTTTTGGGGATTTCATCATATCATAGGTTTCATCATTAGACAATAAGAATTTTTTTTCTTTCAATGTTAATATTAATTATTAATTATTTTGTTTTATTTGGAGAAGAATCAAAAGTGGTTCAATTGGAAAGTTAATTTCAACTTTGTTTTCATCATTCAATACCCTTTTATTTGTGTTCTTCCTTTTATTTTAGGTTACATTTTATTTTTTTTTTTGATTATGGATTAATCAAAAAAGTGGAAGGTTTTGATTCTATTTCTATTTGGTATATACAAAGCTTATCAATTTAAGATTAATTTTGTGCACCCAAGAGAATTGTGTTCGATTCTCGTCAAACTATGGGTTTTTTAAATGATACAGTAGTTCTCAATCGATACCACTAATGGTTGTATTTAATCAAAATGACCTTTTTTCATGATTTTTCGCGAAAGTGTTGAAGTAGTGGCCCTTGACCAATTTTTTCATGAAATCAGCTATCGACTTAGGAATAACCGGCGCATAAGTTAATGTATTATACATTCTTCTGAACCCCTGAATTTCAAACTAGTGTTGATGCTAATTTCTAGATTAATATCATCATAGAAATCAGAGTATGACATTATCAATGTCACCTTAGGGCTTTCGTGTGTCGAATCTGGCTTCTATTGAAACTCATCAAGTACAAGATCGCACCAGCTGCTAATCTGGTGGCGGAGATCTGCTTATAATGAAGTCCTAGCTTTCTAAATGCAAATTAGCCGCAATGAAACCAAGACCAATGCAACAGCTTATTAGCTATTAGTGCAATCATCGCCTTTAATTTCATCCAGAAGCCAATGTTGATGATGTGTGTTTTTGGTGGCGGCCAGTTTGACCGGATCGTGATCGGGTGAGGAGCTATTGGTGTCGGATCGGACAGCTCATTGATAACACTTATCAGCAATAAATCATCCACCAGATACAAGTTTATCCTACGGTGCTTTCCCAAAAAGGTACATTTCACGAAGGAAATAGATGTTCACCTGATATACTATCCATTTGGATCAATGTTTGTTAGCACTTCAAATTAGGACCCTTTGATAAGACCTCAAGGGAGATCATGAAGATTGTATATAAGTACTGGACTGTGAACCCATTCAAGTACCCCAAAACATATTAATCATCAGTTTGTTCAACTAAGCATAAGTTATAACACAAGAAAGGGATCATTATGACTTCTGGTAAAGTTACTCCAGCTAATTCCACAACAAAGGGATACTTTGATGAAACTGTTGGTGAAGTTGTTGAACTTTCAAGTACCCAAGATTTAGAAAAAAACCAAAAAGATCTTACAGATGGGGATTTGATTCTTACGTTAGCTAATGCCCAAGAAAGAGTTAGTTATACTGAGCAAGAAGAAAAAGTGCTGGTTAGAAAGCTTGATTTATACGTCACTATATTAATTTGCTTTGTCTATGGAACCCAATTTATGGACAAGGTCACCATTAGTTTCACAGGTATTATGGGCTTAAGAAATGACCTACATTTGAAAGGTCAAGAGTTCTCTTGGTTAACTACTGGGTTCTATTTGGGTTGGTTATTCTTTGAATTTCCTTGTGTTCGAATGTTGCAAAGATTCCCCTTAATGAAAACTTTATCTGCGTTTGTTTTCGTTTGGGGCTCAGTCCAGATCTTAAATGCTGCTTCTTTCAATTTTGGAAGTATGTTAGCTGCTAGGTTCTTTCTTGGTGCAATGGAGGCTTCTATTTCTCCGGCAATGGTGATGATAACTGCACAATATTTCAAAAAGGATGAGCAATTTCAAAGAAACACTTTCTGGTGGTCAAGTAATGGTGCAGGTAATATTGTTGGTGCTGCACTTGCATTTGGTTTGGTTAAACATAAAAATTCGATGGCATTAGAAGCTTGGAAAGTTTTGTTTTTAGCAACTGGTTGTTTTACTTTGGCATTATCATTTATTTTATTCTTTCATTTACCAGATACACCAGCGACTGCTTGGTTTTTGACTGAACGTGAACGTCAAATTGCAGTGGAAAGAATTCGTGTTAATCAACAAGGTTTTGGTAATAAGAAATTCAAGAAATATCAACTTATTGAAGCATTCAAAGATGTTCGAACATATTTATATTTTGCTCATGGTGTTCTCTCAACTGTTCCAAACGGTTCATTAACCTCATTCGGAAGTATTTTGATCAAAGAGTCATTTGGCTTTTCAGAATCAAAATCATTGTTATTATCAATGCCGAACGGTGCTTGTCAATTTGGTTCCTCCTTCTTCCTCTTTTTTGCTATTAAATTCTTTGGACATAGAACTTTGGTGGGTATAGCTGGTTACTCGGTTGCCTTCGCAGCTTGTTGCCTTTTAGCTTTCCCTGAGAACAAAACAGCCCAATTGATTGGTTATTTTTTCTCTGCTGTTATTCATATTGGTTGGGTCACTGTGATTAGTATGATTACAACAAACACTTTAGGTTATACCAAAAAGGGTGTTGTTATGAGTATTTATCTTGTCTCATACTGTATTGGGAATATGATTGGTCCTCAAACTTTCAAACCAAAATTTGCACCAGATTATAAAGAAAGCAAAGTCATTATGGCCGCTTGTTCTGCGGCTTCTTTATGTTTGATGGTACTTTTATATTTTGTCAACGTCATTGAGAACAAAAAGAGAGATAGGGACTCTGAAAGATTAGGGGATGCGTATTTCAACCCTCCAGAAAACTATGAGTTCATGGATTTGACTGATTTTGAAAATAAAAACTTTAGATATGTTATATGATTGAATAAGAAACGTACTTAATAGGGTACTTGAATGTAATAGAACGTTTATTAGACCTTGTAGTGATCATATTGCAGTCCGTACATTATGTACTTATAATAACATTACTCTTAACCAAGACTCTGTATAATTAGGCTCTTCTATTATAATCAAACTGATCACTAGCCATACAAGCTTCTAGCCGCTCAAATTAACATTAGTTTCAGTTATATGATACAGCACTAGCATGATTGCTTCACAACCACGAGTATAATTATTTCTAGTAGATGTCTGTCAGAAGACCTGCTATATCCTAGTTATTGATAGGTATATTAGTGCTGCCAGCTAAGTCTTATAGAACTGCAGCTGATCTATTTACAATAGTCTAAGTACAACAATGTTAATATCACTAGTGATCAGTACAGCTATTTGCTCAATGTGTTTATTGGTTAGTGTTAACTGGCCCGTATAAGCTATATTGGGCAAGTACACCATACGTTTTGGAGGTTATACGTCGTTGGCGAAAAACCTTGGACGTTCATAATTTTTCCATTGAAAACAATCATAAACATCAAGTTCAGCAACAGCAGTTTCATATATGTGATTTCTTCACACATGAGATCTAATAGAAGCTAGATATACTATTACCAAGTGCTATATTGTAAGCACAGCCCATATTGTAATTTCATCTCAGCTCGATCTCACCTAATTTTATATATTTATAGCTTCTTTTATTTCATATTAATATATATATATATTGCTGTCCTATAATTAACTCGGCGCGTCCTGGCATCGGCGTCATCATAATATGGTATGCAATATTAATTATAAGTACTTGATCAAAAATTAGTTACGAAAAATATAATTAATAGCTGCTGAGCGCACAATAGTACGTAAATTGTAAAACGTATTAAACTAATATATTATAACATATTGACAAATCAAAATCAAAGGAAAATTAACTGTCCGCCCGAAGTTGGACAATGACAGAATAGAATCATGAGCATTGTAATGCTGAAAAAGCGGTCTATTGTTCTATCAAAAGAAACAAACCATAGAAGACAAAGGAAATCAATTAAGATTCAAATAAAAAAAAACCAGAAAGGAAAAAATCCAAAAGACGAAATTCAAAAATAATAAGACATTATCCCAAAGTTGAGATTAAAAAAGCATTAACAAGAATACCAAAAGACCAGTGAAACTTGAAAAAACGTTCTTTGAAGCGGCAGCCTCGTATGAACTTGAAGGTGGAATAGAGTAAGGCATGTTTGATGTGCTCATAGTCTCAATAGCAGAAGCTTCTGTTTTTGTAACTTGAATAACAACTGTTGATGTGGTATCTTCATTTCCAGACACAGCAGTAGCTTGTGCTTGTGGGCCAACCGATGTAGCAACAGAACCAATTGGGTATAAATCGGCACCTTGTGAAGCATTTTCTGAAGTGGCAATAGCAGCACTATGGGCAGTACGAACAGAACCAGCTTCATTAGTGGCAACAGTTGGAGCAGCTTGTGATCCAGGGTTATTACCGACATTACCTGCAGTGCCAGATATAGCTGGGCCCTCAGAAGCTGGAGGTACCACAGCACCTACTGTTGTTGATGTCTGACCAAGGATAACAGTGGAGCTCAATGGGCAATAGGTGGTGTAAACGGTTTCAGTACCAGCATCGGTTGAAGTGACAACAGTGACACCAGTTGTGGTTGGGATCTTAGTACATTTCTGTTCAGAACATGATGTAACAGTGATCACAGTGGTAGATGAAGCATGAACAACAGATGTTAAAGTACCTTCAGGCTTTGATCCAGTAACAGAAGTTGGTTCTGTTGTAGCAATTGAGCTACCTGAAGTAGACGACAATGGACAGAATGTTGTGAATGTTGTCACGGTACCTTCAACAGTTGATGTGACAACAGTAACTCCTGTGGTGATAGAGACCTCTGTACATGAATGACTTGAGCAAGAAGTAACAGCAACAACAGTGGTTGACATAGTAGAAACAGTAGAAGTAGATGTGGAAGCAACAGAAGAAGCAGTTTCAGTACCAGAAACAAATCCAGAAGTTGTTGAACCTGAAGTAACAGAAATGGCACCTGTACTGCTTTCACCGCTTGTCTCCATTGTAGACGATCCGGAACCACCAGTTGCACCACTAGAAATTGAAGAGGCATTCTCCCTAATTGTTGCTGACAAGTCGAAAACCAACACAGCTCTCTTCACAAGCTTCTTACCATCAATTGTTGTGACTATTAAGACAACTGAATTTGTATATGGTTCAGATGCAATAGCACGAGCAGACACACCAATGACCAATTCAGAAGATTCACTAATACTAGAATCATAGGAAACTTCCAAAGAATCATCACTCACTTCAGAGTCTGCAGAAACCACAGAACCATCAACCATCAATTGGACCCCTGTAAACACATAGTGGGAGCTATCAGCATTTGAAGATAATTCAACATTGGACCATGGTCCCACAGAGCCAGGGACAACAATATCCCAGTGCGGTTGTCCGTTTGAAATGTAACCAGTCATATAAGGAACGGAAGTTCCAGATGAACCAACCGATGAACTAGAGCCAATGGAGTTGGACAATGTTGTGGTAACACTTGAACCACTTGAAGCAGTAATAGGAATAGTAGTTGTAGCAGTACCAACGATACCATCAGAACCAGTAGTTGGCTGTTCCGTAACAATACCAGTATGGGTTTCACCATTGGAGTCAGTCCAAGTAACTGATGTAGCACCTGAGCCTGCACCACTTGAGGTAGTAATAGGAATAGTAGTTGTAGCAGTACCAACGACACCATCAGAACCAGTAGTTGG